CCGACAGCCAGTGGGGCAGGACAGAAACCTTTAAACATTTCCTAGGGTAGGTCACTTGTGGCTCTGCTGCTCGGCAGAGGAGGAGGAAGGTGCACAGCCCGTGCCTTCCCCCTCCCCGGGCTCCTGCCTTCCCGACAGGGGCGAGGAATTTGGTTCCCACCGTGCCCAGGGGATGCTGTGCTGCTTTTCCAGCCAGGAAAGTACCGTTTCATTTTTTTCTTTGTGGCAAAAGGCATAGAAGTTACTACAAGGAAATGAAATGCATCTAAATCAATGAAACAGGTTATTAATTTCCTGCTGGATGGGGGGTTAAGCCATCCATAAAACTGTCCTTGGCTTCCCTGAGGGTGAATTCATGTGAATTTATACTTCGGCTTTATACCTTAAGACCTCTCTGTCCCTTTTCTGATTTGCTTAGATAATTTATTTCTGGTTCAGCTTGTCAGACAGTGACTCCTGAAAGCGCTGGTCACCTGAACCAGCCTTTGCAGTCTGGAGAATGGGTTCCGGAGTTCCAGCTTTTCTAGATACTAGATAGATTTAGATAGATCAGGTCCTACCTGATTAACCTCTTAATGTCATGCAAGGCTTAGGAAAGGCTTCTGGTCAGACAGGGTTTCCTCATCGCCTATGGAAGCAGGAGGGATTAAGGTTGGCTTTCTTGTCTCATTCCAGTTATTGGATCAGGTGTAATGAGTCTGAGATAACATTTATAGCAAGAACACCCTGGGTTCTGCCCCATCCCCTCGCCCAGACACCCCGGGGACACCTGCCTGGGGTGCGATTAGAGCTGAGACCAGGCAAGCAAACACGATGGGTCTGGGTGAGTGCTAAGGTCGCCCTTTTCACCAGGCCCTGGCTCTCTCGGCTGGCACTGGCATTGCTGTCCTTAGTTGCCCCTCATGTAGACCTTCAGCACATCAAATGTCAGTCTAATAAAAGAAGATTTTCTGTTTATTAAAATTAGGTAAAGACCACGAAGCCCTTAAAATAGCAGCCTATCCTACCTTTCGTCAGCCAAACCCAGAGCATCTCCCACAACGACGGCACTGAGCACTGCACCTCTCCCATCCTTCAGTGGGATCAGGTGCGGAAGCTCAGCGGTACGGAGCCCTCCGTCTGACCGTCACGGAGCCCACAGCTCAGAGCCAGCAGGAGGCATCGACCCCTTCCAGCATGGAGAGAACAGAAGACCTTGCCTTCAAGTTAAATGCTGCTCTGAGGGACAGTAATATGAAAGATGTGCTGGAGCTGCTGGAGAAAGGGGCAGATGTGAACTCCAAAGCAGGAAGCGGCTGGACACCACTGCAGACTGCCGTGCAAGCTGATGATGAGGACCTGGTCCGGCTTCTGCTGGACAAGGGTGCTTGTCCACATGCCAGGAAGGACAACGGCGGCACTGCATTTACTGAGGCAGCCATAGCAGGAAATGTCAATATACTGGAGCTCCTCCTTGATCGTGGATTAAATATTGATGACCATGACGACAACGGCTTCACAGCTTTCATGGAGGCTGCATGTTATGGGAAGGAGGAAGCTTTAAAATTCCTGTATAGCAAAGGAGCAAATGTGAATTTGAGGAGGGCAGTGAGTGAGGAGAATGCGAAACTGCATAAGGGAGGTGCGACAGCGCTGATGGATGCTTGTAAGGAGGGCCACTTCTCAGTTGTAAGAACTCTTGTCCAAGAGATGGGGGCCGACGTGAACATTCGTGACAACAAAGATAGGAATGCCTTGATCCATGCCCTCAAGGAGGGCTGTGCCAAGGAAAGACACGAGTCAGCTGTCTCCATAGGCCTTTTCCTGCTGGGCTGCGGTATCGATGTGCACAGCAAAGATGAATGCGGGAAAACTGCCCTCATCCTAGCTGTTGAAATGCGGAGCCCAGATTTGGTGAAAGCTTTATTGGAAAAGGGTGAAATAGATATCGATGATGCAGATGAGGAGGGCAACACAGCACTGATGGTGGCTGTAGAGAAAAATGATTACAACATAGCAAAGTTGTTGTGTGAAAAAGGAGCAAGGACTGATGTTGGGGAACTTATCGCTGTTGCGAACAGGAACCGTGCTCATAACGTGGCACGTCTTCTTCGCCAGTATAATGCCAAGTTTGTTCTAGAAACCTTCGAAGACTGGGAGCCAAACAGCAAATGCTGGAGGGAGCAGCTGAAAAAACTTTATAAAATATATCGCCCTATGATTGGCAAACTGAAGACATTTCAGTACATCCAGCAGAGAATTCAGAACACTTCCCAGGGTGGCATCTACCTGGGTCTGCATGGTGGGACGGAGGTAGCAGTAAGAATAAGCCGCAGTACAGAGGGTGACAAAGAGAAAAGGTTCTTCGAACAATGTGGTAACTGTGAACATCTACTGAAGCTCTTCCAGTTTGAGAAGGCAGGAGGCTACATGTACCTGTGCTTCCCCCTCTGGGAGAAAAACCTTGAAGAATGTCTGCAGGAACCAGGAGACCAAATGGATTACAAAGATGCTCTGAGGATGATCTTCCAGGCAGTGAGAGAGCTGCACTCCCTCGGATTTGCTCACCAGGATCTGCATCCCAGCAACTTCTTCATAGGTTACCTTTTGCTTTCCTGATATTTTCATTTTTCTCTCCTGTTGCCTGTAGTTTAGAGAAGATGATGCTTCACAGCTGTCTGTAAAAAAAAAAAAAAAAAAGAGATGAAACACCAGTGCAGGTTCCTTTATGCAGAATGAGGTGTCTGTGGCATTAGCTTTCCTCTTTGAATAAGTAGAGGGGTGTTCACAGGCAGCCACAACTGAAGGGGTTTCAATAACTTTACATGTCTCTACATGTTAGATCTGCCCTCCTTTCCAGGGCTTTGCAGACAGATCAACCCACAGCAGTTGTCTTCAGAGAATTGTTTTCTAGAGAAGGGGCCATCCAGAAGCCACTGACAGACTGTATCAAGGTTTTCCACCATTATTTGTTAACAATTTCTCTTATTTCCTCAGATTTACGTGGCAAAATTTACCTGGCAGACTTTGATAATAGAAGAAAGTTGATTGAAGGCAAAAAAGAACTTGTAAACTCAGATTTAGAGGTAACTTCCCTGCAAATCAACGTACGGTTTAACATTTCAGGCACTCTCTGATATTTTCTGTTGCTGTGAATCCTAGGGGAAGCTTTTCTGCATCCTCAACTAGAAAACACCTTGATTTTTGGGAAAGCCCATATAGCAATAGACGCTACGTAAGAATGATAGCGATTAGGATGCAAGGCTGTGGCTGGTGCAGGGATATCCACAGATAGGCTGTGAGCACGATTATGGTCTCCTCTGTCTTTGCGCACAGAGCTTCAAAGTTCGTGTTTTGTGTGTATTTGTATACCTCTGCACACCTATAGGTGCGTGTGTGTGTTCACACAGGCAGTCTGCTCATTTAGGAACACTAGTCCTCTCCCATTTGGTGAGAGGTTTCGTGCATCTGGCACGTGAGCAGCGACGTGTTTCTTTGCAGGCCCTCAGCAGGCTCGTGCTGTATGTTTTAACGGGGGGTAGGAAACCCCTTCAGCAAGTCAGTATTGAGGACTTGGCTGCGGATTCCCCAGATTACAAGGAGGCTCTGGACCTTGTAAGTAGCCTGGACTCTCATGATGAACGAGGCTTGGAGGGTTTGAGCAAACATCCCTATTTCTGGAGCAAACAGACGTAAGTTCCTGGGAGTACAAAGGAAAAGCTTTCGGTACGAGATTTGTCTGTGGTGCTGGGAACAGCAATGTCCTGTTGCAGCTAACGAAGCTCCTCGTTCCACAGCAGGTTCAAGTTCCTGAAGAGTATATGGAATAAAATCAAAGATCTCCGCAACCGAAGAGCTGTCTTTCAAGCTCGTAATGCTACTGAAAGTTTTCCGTATCCATGGTGGACCGAGGAGGTAATCCTCTTCCCTTTGGATCGATAGGAGGTTTGAGCTAGACATTTAGGCAGAAGCTTTTCCTGGGTGTTTCAGAGGCCCTGTTTAAAACCGTAACTGGAGAAAGTAGCGCCACATAAATACAGATAACGGGGGGAAACAATTAAATCAAAGCCACATAGTCGAAATACACCAGACTCAAGACGTTGATGCTAAAGGGAGCTCTGTTGACTGGGGTGGTAGTAGGGAATGGTTGTTACAGAATTAGCTGGCAAACCTTCAAGGGTGTTTGTTGGTGACCCTTTAAGACAAGGACCTCTGGCCCTTGTTGCCAGCAACATTTCTGGCAAAAGTGTTTTGTTAGATTGGCTCAAAAGCAGTGAGACCAGGCCTGCTTCTGCAGGTGGCATCCTGAAATGACGCGCTGCATCGTTCGAGGTCTTACAGTCTTGGTTCAGTATGGCAGCCCATGTGGTCATCTCAACAGCGGCACAGTTGGAGCAAGACTCCCGAGTCCCCCCTGCCCTCTAGGCATGCATGGAAGTATCCTGTGCCACGTTGACAGCCCCAGTATGAACGCCACACCTCGGCAAGGCAGGAGAGGAAACACTTAGCAGAATCAGGGGGTCTGTATGGCGCATGGCCTGCAGAGTGAACTCTTCTGCTCATGCAGGGACATATGCTTTTTAAGGGTCACAAGATTTACCCATGCAAGATGACGTCCCTGCAGAAAGGCAGTGGCTGTGGTGAGTGGAGGTAGATGTGCTGCTTTCGTGGTGTGTGAAAGGCAGAGAATAACCTGTGAGCTTTTTTTCAGATTGACAAAGATGTTCTGAATGTCATGGAAAATCCTAGGAATGGAAAACCATTCCAATATAGCAATGACATCACTGACCTACTGAGGTTCATCAGAAACCTGGATGAACACCCAGATGCCAGGTACATGTTCGCCTCTTTGCCCCTGCCACAGGGGAGCATCTGGGTATCTGCAAGTGCCAGAGAGTTTGAGAGCAAAATCTTCTTCAGACGGTTTTCCAGAAGGGCAAACACAACTGGGATGGGGGAGAAAGTCCGTTAAAGCTCATCTCATTAGAGGGGCTATCTCCTCTGGCAGCGCAATAGAGCGTGAAAGATTGTGCATCATGGCAGCAAGCAGTCTGGAGTCAGCTCTCAAAATCACCTTCCTGAGGGTAATAAAAGTAAGTTAGCCCACAGGATTTTTTTTCGGAATTTGAAGGAAAATCTGACTCCCAGATCATCTCCCACAGATGAACATCCTCAACCGGAGCCTTCCATTCCAGAGGGATAGCGGCAGCTTCAGAGAATTGGTGGCAGCTCCCTCTGCACCTTTGCCTTTGCAGAGCAGCCTGTGGGGTGGAGAGGTGTCCATGACAGCTAGGGCAGGTCATGGCTCTACAGCAGAGGACACCGTGAACGTGTCCTTCCGGGCTGTTATTTTTGCTGCAGGCTGGTGTTTCTTGCCATAACTCCAGGAAGGTTTTTAGATCATTCTTAAATACTTGTATCATCCTTTATACCTTTGAAAAGCCTCCTTATCTACCTTGCTATTATTTCCAAAGTGCTGATGTTTATCATGCTGAAGTGCTTTGAGATACGGATGAGGAAGCACCGGTCCTGTCAGAAGGTCCTGTTAGGAGGTCTTGACTCCTAAAGAGCTGCCAGAGTCTCCAGCCCTTCACAGTCATGGGCGCTTACATGTGAGGTTAGAGGTGGCATTAACTCCTAGCGATGGTTTCGCTGACGCTGGTGGCCAGCACTGTTCTTCAGTGAAGACGCAGGTAGGATTAGGCAGATGGAGGTGCTGGAGGAATAGCGAAAAAATAGATTGAGGAGCTTAAGGAAGGTATAGAAAAGTTACAGCTCAAGGATTTCTAGGAAACCTTCCTGTATTATCAGAAAGCCTCTAGAATGGCTTTTTTCTCTGCAAGGGTGTAACCAGGGCATCCTGGACACTTTGACTTCTTGGGCAAGCTTTAAAAATCCATTTTGTTTTTCTTCTCTTTCAGGATCAGTAACAGAATAGGAGACCATGCTGAGTATTTCTTGAAGCTTTTTCCAGCACTTACCATTTATGTCTACAACAGCTTACGCCAGAATCCCAAATACAGTCACTTTGCAGACATTCAAGACTCTTCTCTGTAGGACATCATTGCCTCATGTCCCGTGTCTGAACCCACCATCACTGCCTCTTTTTATTCCCTATTTCTTCATCTGCAAAAGACTTGAAGAAGGTGGGTAAGGAGACGGGAGAGAGCAGATGCAGGGACAGAGCATGGAGGACTTTTAGTCTAAGAAATGAAAGCTGCTTCAGAAGTGTTTGGTGTAACAACCACGGGCTTTGGAGAGGAACCAAGCCGAGAGCCAGCCAAGGTCCCTCTTGGCTACCTCTGTCCCTCTGGGCTTATCTGTCTCTGTGAGGTGGAGATCAAGGCCCTGATCCTTTTGGAGAGCAGGGAGGTGTGGGACAGCCCCCATACACCCAACACATCTGGGAGGCAGAAGAGCTCAGGCATTGCCAGACAACATGGGACCCTCTGATAAAGGAAAAGGAGTCTGAGCTCCTTGCGAGGGCCAATGTTCCCCACAGCTTGCACTGATGAGCTGCTCATCTACTCCTAGAAAGACAGGGATTCTCTCTTTTCAGTCTTTTTGAAACAGCAGCCAGCAAATGAGATGCCTAGGCAATGGTCTGGCTGCAGAGTTGCCCTTGGCCCATTATCCCGCTGATCTGGTAGAGGCACGCTCAGCCCAGCCTGCTGGGACCTGAAGGACTTCTTCTGGGGGATGCAGGAGATGCTTCCACGAGGAACAGATGTAAGGAGCACCATCCCACAAAATTCCGCTACTGTGCGTAGTCCTGACTCACCTGAAAAAGGCCACTGACATCAAAGGGAATGCAGGGACCCGTTCCTCCTTCTCTGCCACGGCAGGCTGTGTCTGCAAGGCAGGGCTACGCGCAAGCACGCCCTGCCTAGGAGCAGCGCTGCTGGGGGTCCATCACTCTCCTCCTGCCAGGCTCTCCTCCCTTGCACGGAGCTGGTGCCCATCGAGCAGCCAGCTCAGAGCTTTGGTGTTGAAGGCTGGGTGGCACAAACCCATTTCTGAAATCCTACGGCATGCAACGTGTGTCTGTTTGTCCAAGGGCTCGCTTGTTTCTCGGCTAACGCTCTGATTTGCACGATGATTATACGTTGCTTACGGAAATATTTTTCAGCCATTGAAAAGATTTTTAATTTTGTTCAAACTGAGATGGTTACTCTTTTGATTAGCCGGTGGAGAACAAAACTTGGAATAAACTTACCTGGAAAACGGACTCTACAGTCATTTATGGATGAGGTTTCTCCATCCCCTGTGCACAGAAGGAGGTAGTCTGCAGCACCATAAAGCACCAAAAAGATACATTTTTTGCCTCCCTGTGGAGGTGCCTCTTGGTTGTTTAGGTAAGGTGGTGGACACTTTTGTCACTGCTCGGATGAATTGCTTCTGGCCCATATGGGTATCTGATGGGAAAAGATACTGGGAAGTACTGAAGGCTTCCTGTCCTCGGAAGCAAGCTGTCTCTTCTGAAATAATGGGCTGAACGGTGGGGGTTTTTGCACTGTTTTTGTGGAGTGAGGGTGAGGATTTTGTGGATGAGTTGAGGTGCGAAGATGAGCATCAATGCTTGCACGTGCATGTAAAACTCTGGGAGCGGCTGTGTTTGACCCATCTCCTCTGTAAACGGGTGGCTGCCAGAATGCATCATTGGGGCATCTGGTTTGGCTGTGTGTGCTTACAGATGTATGTACCTGCAGACCAGCATTGCTGTGCAGGACTTTGATTGCAGACTGCCACACACATGCTCATGGCTCGCGAGGTCCGACTGCCAACCTGCATCAGTGGTCCTGGCAAAGGACCTTCTGACAGTCCTGGGAACTTTTTCAAATACATAAATGTGACAAGAAGAAAGCTTGACCATGTAGCTGTTGGTGAGGTGCCAATAGAGGAAATGCAACCAGGAGAATGTCGACTCCTCTTGTGTCAACATTTGTATTTTCTTCTTTCCTCCTTGCTTGTTTTTTCTTGCTCACTCTGTCTTTCTCATGCCCAGAAAGCAGGAGGACACCCAGAGATGTGTGTCCAGGTCTCAGCAGCGCGGGGAGCCTGGGTGCTATGGGGAGCACGGTGGCTGCATGCTGCAGCAGCACATTTCTGCTCTTGCACAAGGAGAGGTGAGGCCATGGGCTGAGTTCCTTCAGCCGCTTGAAAAATGTGGCTTGCTTTGACCTTTGTGTCTTCTTGCATCACTCCACTGTTTTCCTAAAGGGCTGTGACTTGGCAGCCTTAACAGGCTGCAGAAAGGACTTCCTGAAAGCAGAGAGCACTCAAGGATGTCCAAACCAGAGCAATGATTAAACCTGTGGAGGCTGTGACTTGTCTCTCTGGGGCAATCGGGCTGCTGGGAAGCATTTCCAGGGAAGGCTCGTGTGGTCTGCAGGGCCGTGTCCTGCTTCCCGAGAAGCCAGAGGTGCCGGCAGGCTGGTGTTGGAGGAGAAACTGGATCCATGCACGGCATTTGCAAAGCTTCTTGCTGACAGAGCATCAGGCCATGGGAAGAGGTGGGGCTGCAGGACTGGGACCACGGCTGGGGAACACAGCAGGCTGCCTGTCCTCCTCACAGGGACGGAGAGGATGGGCGAGGGCTCAGCGACAGGCCAGGCAGGACGGAAAACCAGCGGCAAGGACAGATGGGCAGTATTGCAACCGGGTGGTATGGCAGTGCCTGGCAAGGATGTCCTAGGGAGCCAGGAGCAGGGCTGAGGCCAGAGCCAGCTGCCAGAGTTAGTGCTGCCTGATGTGCTGATGGCTCCCAGCATCACCGCCCGTCTGGGAGGTGCTGCCTGCTTTTGCCTCGGACAGGCAGGCTTGCAGACCAAGGGCATGCTGATTTGGCCCTAAACAACTTCATTCCCCCGCTGTCACGCCTGTACGTTGCGTGTTTGCTGTGCCTTTTTCCCCTGCTCCTGCTGGGGACCCCCGGGGCAGCGCTCCCAGCCTGGTGGCATGGGATCAGGTGCTCCCCATCCCGCCACTGCTGTGCTGAGCACAGGCTGCGGAGCGCAGGGGTGGCCCCAGGTCAACGCGTCTCATCTGCTGCGCTGGGCGCGGGGAAGGAGTCCACGGAAGCAGTGGAGTGAAGATTGCTCTTCGCCGCGGTTTTGCCGTGATGAGCTCCAGGCGCATCCACGAGCCTTCCAGGGACCGGGCTCAGCTGGGCTCAGGCTGCGGAGCCTGAAGTCTTGTGCAAAGCTCAGACAAAGGCAGCTAGCTTTTGCGGATGAAGGCTTTTGGGGCAAAATCAAGTTACAGCACAAGGGCAGTTTTGAGGAGCTGGTCACAGGCCAGGCCGCAGGAAGCTGATGCTGCTCCTATGTGCCTCATTTATAGAAATGTGGTTGGACTTTGGGTTGGTTTGGTTTTCTGATCCCCCAGAAGCAAAGCGTTGATAATCATAACTGACAAATACGAAACACGTTGTCATCTGCCTTAAATGTTATTCCCAGGACGCAGTCTTCTGGGATTTGAGGGTTAAAAAGTAGCTAAAAATAGCCCCGAAGTTACAAAGCTGAGAGCTTGCAAGGCCGCTGTCAGAGGCAAGGCGTGATAAAGGCCGTGGTCTTTTCTTCATGAGGTCCAAAGAAGGCCTGGGATCTCTGCCACTTCCTCGGGACTTGGCAAAGCCACTCTGACTCAGTTTCACCCGGGGAAAACGAAGGTCTGTCTTTGATATGAATTGCTCAGTGCTTTGTAAACACAGGTCTACCGGCTTTTAAAAAAAAAAAGACCCGTGGCAAGGCCCCGAGCCAGGCATGAGCTGATTGGAAAATCAGAACGGCCCTGGCCAGAGAGGCACCACCTCCCCACCCAGGGGCAGCTGAGAAGTAAACCAGGTGGGGTCTCAGCCTTGCCACCCACAGCAGGTATTTAATTTGTGTGGAAAGCATGGAGGGCTGAGGAGCTGAGGCGAGGTTGTAAATGGCGCTGAGTGGAGGAAAGCAATCCCAGCCCTCGGCTCCCTGCGCAGCAGGGCTCTGGGGACCGGTGGTCTTTGAGGGTGCCTGTCCCCAGGTAAAGTATTTACTGTAACTGCTTCCTGGCTTTAAGCATCTTCCAAATGTTTTGGGAAAGACCTCAAAGGTGTTGTGCTGTGCACCCAGTGTGATTTACTTAGGCCGTTACTGGGCCCTTGCTATGGGCAATGCAGTCTTCTACAGATACGTGTGAGAAAAGAGACTATCACGTGGACAAGGGCATCTCTTGGGTGGAAGTATGGCATGGCGTGTCTCTGCCATGGTTGCAGAGGTGCAAGCTGCTGCGCAGTGTTACCGGGCAGGCTGGAGGACGCTGTGAGTTGCTTTATTTTTAGGTCTTATTGCTGATTAAGTGCAAACTATTCAGTGTGTCCAGGCTGCTCAGCTTTCTTGGAGCACACCCCTGTCCTGCTCAGTGTGGACGGCAGGTTGGGAGGTCTGTTTTTCCTTGGAAATCTGTCCTTCCCTTGGTGCCTGTAGGGAAGGGAGAGATGTTGCATCAACGGAGGCAGGGCATGGGTGATGGGGGACGAACAGCACAGCTGTCTGCTCCCGGGGGGTGTTCAGGGCGTGGGGAGGGGCGGCAACCGGGGATTTCCTGCGAATGTTACTGGAGGTGGTGGGGTCACCAGCACCCTGCACAGAACCCCCCAGCTGGCCTTTGGGTTTTAAGGTTTTGAGGACCCCTGTCCCCAGGTAAAGTATTTACTGTAACTGCTTTCTGGCTTTAAGCACCTTCTAAATGTTTTGGGAAAGGCCTCAAAGGCGTTGTGCTGTGCACCCAGTGTGATTTATTTACACTGTCTGCTGCTCCATGTGCTTGTGCTGGTGTGGTTTGGGGGAGGTAGACCGCCTCTGCGACCGCCTACCTGCTCTGCAGAACGGGAGGCAGACTTGCTGAGTGAGAGCCTTTTCTCAAGACTTTTATCTGCATCTGAGGAAAAACAACACGCACAAACCTCCCATCATGGACCGACCGATGCAGGGAGCCCTAAAGCCCAGCTCCCATCCCAGCAGCTGGAGCAGGAAGGTTCCTTTCCGCACCGGCTCACCTTTTTGCTCCTGCAATGG